TGGAATGAATGATGAATGATGAATGAATGAATGAATGAATGGAATGAATGAATGAATGATGAATGAAATTGAATGAGAATGAATGAATGGAATGAATGGGAATATGGAATATGGAATGAGAATGGAATGAATGATGGAATGAATGAATATGAAATGAGAAATGAAATGAAATGAAATGGAATGAATAAGAAATGTATGGAATGAATGAAATGAATGGAATGAAATTTAGATGATGAATGAAGATGGAATGGAAGTGGAATGGAATGGAATGGATGATGATATGGAATGGAATGGATGATGGATGATGAAGATGGATGGATATGGAATGTGGAATGGAATGGATGAATGGAATGGATGGAAGGAATGGAAGATGGATGATGGAAATGGAATAGAATGGATTAGAGGAATGGAAATGGAATGAAATGGAATGGAATGGATATTGGATGGAATGGAATGGAATGGATGGAATTAGGAAATGAAATGGAATGGAAATGGAATGGAAATGGATGAATGAATGATGGATGGAATGGAAAATATGGAAATGGAATGGAAATGAATTGGAATGGAAATGGATGAATGGATATGGAAGATGAAATGATGGAAATGATGAATTGATGATGGAAATGGAAATGGAGAAATATGAATGAATGAATGTATGAAAATGGAGAATGGATGATGGAATGAGGAATGGAAATGGAATGGAATGGAATGGAATAGGAAGATGGAATGGAATGGATGATGATGAATGGAAGGAAATGGAAATGGAAATGGAAATGGAAATGGATGATGGAAGATGGAATGAAATGGAAATGGAATGGAAATGGATGGAATGATGGAAATGGAAGGAATGGAAATGGAAGAGGAAATGAATGGATGGAAATGGAATGATGGTGATGGATGGAATGGATATGGAATGAATTGATGAGAAATGAGGAAATGTGAAATGAATGTATGAATGATGAATGAAATGAATGGATGAATATGGAAATGAAATGTGGATGAAAAAATGATGGAATGAATATGAATGATAAATGATGAATGATGAATGGATATGAATATGATGAATGAATGAAAAAAAATGAAATAGGATGAAATGAAATGAATGAGGAAAAATAGATGGATGGAAAAATTGAAAGATGGATGATGAAGGAAATGGAATGAAATGGAATGGATGATGATGGAATGAATGGATGGATGGATGATGATGGAATGGAAATGGATGGAATGGAATGGAATGGATGGAAATGGAATGGATGATGGAAATGGAGATGGAATGGAATGGAAATGGAATGGAATGAAATGGAAATGGAAATGGATGGAATGGAGATGGAAATGGAAATGGAATGGACATGGAATGGAATGGAAAAATGGAATGGAAATGGAATGGAATGGAAATGGAAGATGGAATGGAATGGAAATGGAATGGAATGGAAATTGGAAATGGAATGGAATGGAAAGGAATGGACATGGATGGAATGGAATGGAAAATGGAAATGGAATGGAATGGAATGGAATGAATGGAAATGGAAATGGAAGATTGGAATATGGACATGGAATGGAATTGAAAATTGGAATGAAAATGGAATGGAATGAAATGAATGGAATGGAAAGATGGAATGGAATGAATGGAATGGAATGGAATGGAATGAATGGAATGGAATGGAATGGAAATGGAAATGGAATGGAATGGAATGGAATGGAAATGGAATGGAATGGAGATGGAATGGAATGGAATGGAATGGAGATGAATGGAATGGAATGGAATGGAATGAATGGAATGAATGATATGGAATGGAATGGAATGGAATGAATGGAATGGAATAGAATGGAATGGAATCGAATGGAATGGAATGGAATGGAATGGAATGGAATGATATGGAATGGAATGGAATGGAATGGAATGGAATGGAATGGAATGATATGAATGGAATGAATGAAATGAATGAATGGAATGAATGAAATGAATGGAATGAATGAATGAATGAATGAATGAATGAATGAATGAATGAATGAATGAATGGCGAATGAATGAATGAATGGAATGGAATGAATGGAATGAATGAAATGTGGAATGAATGGAATGAATGAAATGGATAGATGAATGAATGGAATGAATGAATGAAATGGAATGAAATGGAATGGATGGACATGGAATGAATGGGCGAATGAATGGAATTGGAATGGAATGGAATGGATATGAATGAATGGAATGGAATGGAATGGGAATGAATGAATGAATTGAATGAATGGAATGGACATGAATGAAATGGAATGGATGGGAAATGGAAATGAACATGGAATGGAAGGGGAGATGGATGGAATGGAATGGATGGAATGGAAATGGAATGGAATGGAATGGAATGGAATTGGAATGGAATGGATGATGATGGAAATGGAATGGAATGGAATGGAATGAAATGAATGAATAAGAATGAATGAATGAATGAATGGAATGGAATGAATGAATGGAATGAATGGAATGGGAATGAATGAATGGAATGAATGGAATGAATGAATGAATGGAATGAATGAATGAATGAATGAATGAATGATATGAATTCGAATCGTAATTCGACAGAAAAATGAATGAATGGAATTTGAAAATAATGAATTGAAATGAAGCTGAAGAATAATGCAAAAAAAGAAAATGAATTTTGAATGAACATTAAAAAATGAATGAATAAATGAAAATTGCTAAGAAATGATTTTCATTGAATAAGCTAAATCAAGAATGAATTAATGAGATGATAAAAAAAATGAATGAATATGAATGAATAATGAATGAATGAATGAAATGAATGAAGAATGAAATAATGAATAATGACATCAGGAAAGAAATATGAGCTGAGTATGAAATGCAAAGTATGAAAATGATGAATGATTGTAATAATGAATCAGAAATAATGAATAATGATGAATATGAAGAATGANATAATACGGAATGAATGATGAATGAATGATATGAATAATGAATGAATGAATGCTAAAAAATGTGATGCTAAAAAAAAAAACCAAAAAAAAAAATAATAATAATGATGAAAGGAAAAAAAAAAAAATGAAAAAATGAATGAATATGATGAATATGAATGAATATATTGATAATGAATGAATATAATGAATATCGAATGAATGATGAATGAATGAAAATATGATAATGAACAAAGAATGAAAATGAAAATGAATGAATGAATGAATGAATTAAAATGGAATGAATATGAAGAATTAAAAAATGAAAATAATGAAAATGAATAAAAAATGAATGAAGAATACAAAAAGAATGAAATTTTAAAAAATTGGAATAATAAATATAAAAATAAGATAATTTTAAAAGAGCAAATGATATTGACTGATAAAATTTTGAGAGAGAATTTGTTATGTTTCTTTTTTTTTTTCTTGCTTTTCTTCCTTCTTCCGTTATACACTTTATAGTTCAATGTAATACATCATACCATCCTTTTTATCAATGATTTTTTTTTTTTTACAATCAATTTTTGTTATTGAAAAATCAATCGATTAGACATACATCATTGTAATGCTAAGAATGCTTTGCACCCAGAAATGGATGAATGAATAATTTTTTCATGTAAATGTAAAATTATTATCATTAAAAGAGAGTTTCTTTTCTTTTTTGTTTTTATTAATTTGTTATAAAATTATTTTTTTTTAATATTACTAATTGCATTGTTTCGTGCTGTTCTGTTTCTTTTTTTTAATTTTTTAATAAATGTATTTCTATTTCAATTACAAAAATAATCTATATGATCAAAATTTAATTAATTGAAAGTAATAAACACTAATTTGTCTCTGTTTTTTCCTTCTTTTTGCCTCCTTTGTAGTTTTTTTCCTTTTTTAGAAAAATAATCTTTGGAAATGATCGCTTAATGATTTTTTTTTGTTTGTTTTAAAAAAAACATCATTAATATGTTTACCATTTTTTGTCATTTTTTGAATGTACTTTCTTGGTAATTATCCTGATTGCTTTTTTTTTTAACATTAATGGAACAAAAAAGAAGAGAAAAAAAAAGAAAAAAGACAAATGAATGGCATAAATTATCCTAAATAATTTCTTAAATTATAGAAATAAAAATTGAAATTTATTTTATTTGATAATATCTGTTTTCTCAATAATTTATTGAAATACTGAAACAATTTCTCTAATATATTTATCATCTGAATTTCAAATTATTCCAAAAATATTCAATAAACGATAATCGCAATAATCTTCATCTATTAAAAGTATTTTACTATTTGATGCAATAAAAAACGAAAAAAAAAAGTATATATATATTGGTGATATCGTTAATTAGTTGATTATGTTTAAGAATAACTATTTATTTGTGCGCAAAAATTATCTCAAGAATTAGTTTCAAAAATCTCAATCTACTGATTAATTTATACAAAAAAAAAAGATTCATTAACATCTTGCATTTCTTTTTTCGTTTTCTCTTAACCGGAAAAAACAAAATGAATTACAAGATAATTACTGAGCGGTTCATTTCTGTGTGACATAGTCATAGTTTAAGTTATAAAGCAAGATAATTCATTCGTAATTTTTATATGAAAATAAAAAATTAGTTACAGGCAGGGAATCAAAAAGAAAAAAAACTGAATTATGGTACTTGCCCAAGAATTACGAAATTAATTTCAGGTTCCTTCCTTTTTTTTTTGTTCTTTGTTGAATTAAATTGAATGCACAATTACTTGGCTTTATTTGCATCTGTAAAAAAAAGGAAAAAAAAACAATATTAACTTTCAGAATTTTTCTCATTCTTAAATCTTTTTTTAAATTGAAACAGAAAGAGATTTAGTCGATTACATTTTACATAGCAGAAAAGAAATGATTGTATATATATATATATAACAATTAAAGTCAATCATAATTTTTTTTTTTTTTTAAAGTCTAATATCTCATAAATCTTTCCTTGGAAAAAAATGTTTATTCCATTCTCAGTTTTTCAATTTAAATGAAATAAATTTCTACCTGATAATCAGTTAGTTAGTTATACGATGAAAACAGGATTTAAATGATGCTGATGACGATGAAATGGATGACAATTAATACATGGTCCACAACATATACAATCATAATAATATCCGTATGGCGGTATTTCCGTTGCGCTTAACATGCAACAACAACAAATAAGAAGAATCATAATTATAAACAATAAACCACCACCATATGGAGCATAATGATAGTAATAGCCATGATACTGTTCACCATAAATGTACATTCTTGAATATTTATGATAGCAACACCGCACGACAATATTTCGAAATCAACAATTATACATATTTTAAAATAAAAATTTTTATAGATATTAAGTCTTTTTTTTCCATCTCTTAGTTGATCATTAGAGTGAAATATTAAGCAAATTGTATATTACAAAATACATTTAATATACAAATGGTTACAATATACATTTTATATAATTACATATTTAATATACAATTAATCTAAACAGAAAGAAAAAAAAGGTTATAAACATTGTTTTTCTTTCTTAATAAACTTCATAACTTCTCCAAAATAATAATACTATGATAAGGAATTATAGCTTTTAGGATTTTTGATTAAAGAAAATTAATGAATCATAAACAGAGAGACATAATTACATTTGCTGAAATAACAATATTTTAAGTTATGTAATTATGAAAATTGAAAGTAATTATTTTGTGCATTTGTTTTTCAATACAGCTAATATCATGTATATACAATAATTTCTTTTATAAAAAGAGCTAAATTAAAATAAGCACAATATTTATTTCGTCAAGAAAAAAAAAAAAAAGAAAAATTATTTTTGGAAATATCAGTGCCTCAGTTTCCCAAAAAGCATTAATTAAATAAATCTAAATTTTACATTTAATAAATAGAAAATCATTTCTGCTTTATTTGGTAATTTCATTTACAGATGTAATTAATAAAAGCTCTGCAAGGAGCTCTAAAATATAATAAGTGAATATCGATAGTAAAAAAGGTTTAGAAGAAGGACAAATATCAACTGTCTTCATACAAACTTCTCTGTGTTGCTCGCCATAGCTGCTCCTCTTCAGACATACCACCTGTATACTCGTTAAAATTTCCTAAAATTTTAAACATACTGGTAGAATTGATTTAATAAATACCAAAGAACATTCACATTACATTTATAAAGTTCCAAATCTAAACCCCAGGAAACTTTTTTAAAGTCTGCTAATTAGTTAAGATAATAATTTCATTCAACCTATCTTCTCGCATAAAGTGGTAAACTACTCGTATAATCACCATCAAAAGTGAAATAAAAAATCTCTCAATATACATCACATTAGTATTGGATTTGTTACTTTGATTCACTACTTTCAAGAAACGGAATTAAATAGTAATCTATTAGAATATATTGAATATCACATTTTATTAAAACAATACATTAAAACAACAATAACTTTGTTCATTTTCCCATCCATATGAAGGTCTTTCATATGCAGCGCTGTTTCTACCTCCAAAGCTCAAATTAGTGAACCAATTTCTATTATTTGATCTTGTTCTATTCCTTGTCTGTGAAAATGATTTCGGTATACTACCTGGAATTATTCAACATATATTATGCTAATTGAGAGAGAGAAGAACCAAACTTAAATTCTACATCGCTTTAAAAAAAAATAAAAATGAAATTGGACCAATATGAACACTGACAGTAAGAAAGTTAAATTTATTACAACAAATGGAGTCAGAATTGTAAGGAAAAAAAAGGACTGACCAAGTAAAAGAGAAATGATGCTTTCTAGAATGTCAACAACTGTTTTCAATGGGCCCATCGTATAGGCTAAACCAACAATAATGCCCGAAAGATGACCAATAAATGATACATTGGGAGTCAGCATCTTTAAAAAATGAAATTAGAGTAGCATAATATTTAAAAAAGTATAAAATATGCCCGATTTAATGTTTGAAATAATTTTGAAATCGATTTGTAAAATATCAGTTCTGCAAGTTCTCAGCGATATTTAATGTACTGCATCAATTAATAATATTCTCATTGCAGTGTATAACATTAAAAGTGTATTTGATAAAAGAATTTTTGGAGATCTAAAAAAAACCAATCTCTACAATATAAAACCGATTTATATAATATCATACGAGAAAAAAGATTTAAAAAAAAGAAAAGCATAGAAATATTGAAAACAACTAAAGTGTTGTGAAAAATGTAAAAAATATATTTAAAATTATGATGAATTAACATTTAACCAACTTGTAGAAAGAACAGTTCTGCCCAGCAAGCAAGCTGTGATGGTATAGGAAGCCATCCAAATAAATTATGATCCGAATAAGGAAAATATGTTGTATGGAGTACTTTCAAAGCAAAAAGTACACCTGTAAAATAAATTTTGAAACGATTTATTTCTTTACAAAATGTTTTTTTTCTTTAATTCAAGCAGTAGAACAGTGAACATATATGATGGATGAGTTGGTGAGCCAAAACTGTACGAAAAAACATTGTTCACACCACCTGAATATTATCTAAAACAATTTAAAACAGAATCAATTAGTTAATCGGAAAAGAGGAATCAATCAACTAATCGAAAGAGAGGAATCAATCAGTTAACCGAAAAAAAAAAGGAATCAATTAGCTAACCGGAAAAACCAATAGCACATTGATTCATATAGCCACCACCATTAAAAGAGAATACTTCATCAGCTAAATAGCTTAATCCAACCATAGTACTGCTTGTTGCAACGGCAAATACTGCCAAGAGCAACAGAAAACGATTCGAACCCAGCCAAGGCTCTAAACGTCGACCCTAAAATAAACATAGAATTTGCAATTACTAGAGTATCTCGAAAGCTATCTACTAAAGCTTGTGACAAATATACATTAATGAAATTTCTAAAAATAAATATAAGAAGGAAAAAAGATATTTAAATAAAATAGTTTATTAATAAAAGTGATTTTTGTTTAATGTACATTTCGTAAGTATTATCATTTAAATTTAATGACCAAGAAGAATGAATAGATAAAGAATAACTAATAATGCAAATTTCTCATGAATGTATAAATAATACGTAATGAAATTCAGATATAACTATTTTCAACATATTAAAATTAGCATGTAATTCACTTAAATTATTAAAGAAAACCAATAAAATCTTCTATTCTAAATTAACGTTTGCGTTTATTTGCTAACTATAATTAATATTTTATTAATATATAGAATGCAAAAAAATACCTTCCTGACTAAAAAAAAAGTGAAAAAAAAAAAGAAAATACCTTCCACAATAATGAGATCATATTGAAATAAAGATGCATGTCATCAACATGCATAATTGTGGATGCAAGCATTCGTAACCATTCACATCGATATAATATACGCGACGGCAGAAGACACATAGCTTCTAAAAATTATTACTTCTTTAAAGACTAATTAAATTATGAGCTTTTTTTAAAATGCAAGAAATCAATTAGGACATCTAAAGATAATAACACTGTTCTAAAATATCAATTACTAAATGACATTCGTGTTTTTTTCCTTTTTTAGAACTAAATTTTTTCAGCAAAGTTTGTTCATTATCGAAACATCCCATTTACTGTTTTAAAATATTGATTTCTAAATGACATTCATGTCTCTTTTCAAATTAAATTTCTTTAGCAAATAAGATTTACTCATTACTGAAACATCCTATTTATACTGTTATTCATTTTCATTCTTATATATACAATTACTTTTAAGTATTAAGTTTTGGTATTAAATTGAAATGAAGAAAAAAATATAATGATGTAAAAGAAAATAAAAAATAAAAAAAAAAAAAAAAAAAAAAAAAAAAAAAAACTTAAATCTAAAAGTAAAAAACACGAAATAAGATCATTGCTAAATATGTACTTGAAAGACAAATAGTATTAAAAATTAACAGAATTTCTTCAACAATAAACTGAACTAACATACCTGCCCTATGTTGTGCAAGAAAAGGGAAATAACCAAGAAAAATCGCCATTTGAAATATTATAACAGCTAAAGTAACTGGTGGAATATAACGTGAATTAAACAGCTGATATGCCAATAAATATATACCATAATTATTCTGTCGTCGACGATTCTGATGGAAAAACATTTCCAATTTACTGCAAAATTGCTAAACAAATTAAATTAACACACACATACACATTCCTTGATGCATTCCAAAACAGTTAAAAATTAGCAAAGGTAACTGAAATTGAATGATAAAAAAGAATAAGCGGATACACCGATAAAGACGATCAGATGATTTTTTCAACTGAACTTTTGCAGCATTTGATATAATATCTAATATACAAACACAAAAATAATCCTAAATTTTGCCAAGACTGACATTTCAACTTGAATTTAACAACCAGTACGTTCTTACTTGTTAAAAAAAAAACCTTTAACAAAAAATAAAAATGCAAATATTTCAATAATCCAAAATTTTGCTAAAACAAATATACATCGATCTTCATTATTCATCGCTCTCTTTTTTAACAACATTGAACGCTGACGTGTCTAAACTATTAGTTTACGTCAGCGTTACTATTCCACGTCAGCATTTATCACTCTATATCAGCGCTGTTTAATTCACATTAACATTACCAACTCTCCTGTAATCATTTTTTTTTTTTTTTAAATTTACTTCTGATTACGAATGTTCTTTTTCGAGAATACCTCATAGTCATACATAAAAATTATCGTTGCAAATTTTAAAAATTGAAGGATTCAAAAAAAGTTTCCTTTGAACTGTAATTAAAAAAAAACACTCTCAAATGAATTTTTTAAATGATTCTGGTAAAAAATACAAACTGGTATGATTCAAAACAATCACAATCTTTTAGCAATTCCTTTATTTTTATTTTTATTTTTAAGAAAATACGTCAAATGTATCACCGTATTTAATTACAAAAACAATTCTTTTGCTTTACTTGCGACAATAACGTAGGAAAATGAAAAATTTTGATAAATCTGTACCAAAAATAGGCATAAGAATATTTTACCTTAGTAACATTTTTTTTTTATTTGATAACTCACAAATGAACACGTAAGTACATGTTCAAATACAAACAAATATAAATTACAATTTTGTCACATTACCATATTACAGCCATCTATCATATCACACCGCATCATACTAATAAAAAATTATTAACTACGGAAACTCATTGAGAAAATTCTTATGTCCTGAATAATTGGCAATTAAACAGTATCATAATAGTCAGTTTTTCTATTTCAGAATTGAATGTCAAAATGATACTAA